TCGTTCAGGAACCGGTATCGAAGTGAAGGTATCGGTATTGGTACCGGTACCGAAAATTTTTGAACAATACCCAGCCCTATTCCCAGGGAACACATCTTGAGGCCTAAATATGCTGTATTTGATTTTTGCATCTATGTATGCAGAGATGTACAAGCACACATAGATGTAGAAGGAAGAAATGATCTCTGACCCTCTGAAACAAGTAAGGACTATACTGCCTTGATACAAAGGTGATGCAGAAGTAAAATAAATGCCAAAAAGTACTTTATGGGGAGCATAATTATAAAGAAAGACCACTTTAAACTTTAAGTAGTCAACCTTTTAAGGTTACAGAAGCTAAAATATATTAAAGGCAACTTATTTTCATATAATCCTTTGATCTGTTATTTATTATATGATCTCAAAAACCTCACAAAGTTCAAATATATGTTAAACATTCAGCTACAAAGCTTAGGAATTCTGTACTACCATAAAATAATTAAAATATATTTGCCCCCTTTTTTTTTTTTTTATGTTTTCCATATACCAGGTCCATAACATCACACTGACAAACTTTATTTCTACATTGGCTGAAGTAAAGGAGAGGCATTAACTGATGCACCCTTTACACATCCTTAGGGGTGGACTCCATTTCTGCTGTTTTAATTATTTCAACTTATCTGTGTAAAACTTTTCTATTTGTTTTGATTTTTGATGTTTCTCTTTTGTATTTGTTTAGGACTTAGTTGAAGTTGATCGTACCACCTTCAGCCTTATAACTGAAGGTGGTACGTTATTATAACTTAGGTTCATAATTAATATAGAAGAGAATATGAAACCTAAACCTCCTCTTACAACTCAATAAGTCATTTCTTAAGGAGAGTAAAATGCACAATTATTCTAACTTTCAGAAGTCATAGAAGCCTTTTACAGGATTTGGCTTCATGCCTTTTTTTCTGGTGTTTCTCTAATCTCACACAGACACATTACTCGCCTTAGGTAAGGTAGCATGGAAGAAAAGATCTGCATGGACTACAAAACAGGGCATGGTCAATACTTAATGGGACATTGATCAAGTCAGACATAGATCCAAAAGGATGAACAAGTAAGGTTACCAGACAAGAGCAATAAATTTGCTGCTCGATGTTGTCAGCTTCTTTGCAGGAAGGTCATGTTTAGCTCCGTTTAAATACGTCACTGCATTATTAAATCAGATATGATAACTTACAATAACCATGGTCGGGAAAATGCCAAATTCAGGATTCATGTCGATACTCTCTCCATCGGTGAAGGTAAACTTTTTGCTACGATCCTTTTTGCATGTAAGAACTATTGAAATCTGCTGGGCTGCCACCGACAGGACTGGGAGGTCAATGCGGTTAAATTCATCAAAACATCCCCAGGAGCCAGACTGTGCCAGACCTGGAAATAGTACAGAGTTTAGCCTTTCCATGATCATTTGTCATTTTTATAAAAGAAACAAAAAGAGAATTTTGGGATCTCTTTTTTAGGCAAAGACGATCCAATATTCAAATTTGTGACATTTACCTTTGAATATTCTTCCCAGGCCTCTGAAATCCATCTGGTCAGAACAATTGAAAACCACAACGTATTTGCCCAGACAGCGACCCATGTCCTTTATGGTCTCAGTCTTGCCTGATGACAAAATGTAAATAACTTACTTAAAAAAAAAAAAAAAAGTGAATGCAACCAGAGGCCCTAACAAAAGATGTATATATACATGTCCCTTAAAAACCAAAAACTCTAATGGATGTTATTATTTTGAATCTTTGAGCCAAACGAAGTTAAGCAATTACATGGAGGGAAAGAAATGATACATGGTTTCTACCAGGTTTTCCATATAATCTGAAAAGTGTGTCGTGTATGCAATAAAACCACCAGCTGCTGCAGTTGCCACATTGTCTCATAACTACGAACTGAATTACTTTCCTTAAATGCCCTCCTTAAGGGTCTCTAGAACTCTTTCAAATATATATGACAATGGAAAACAATAGATTTTCTTTAGTTTGTTTGATTTAATATGGTGTGCAGGACGTCAAACAAACATTCATTATGTTTCTAATGCTGCACAAATTTGTATGATAAATAAATAAAAAAAATTCATTTTGACATTCCTGTCAAGAAAGATTTGGGTCATAGCCTGTAACACAACATGGCGTGGTGCCAAGCAGGTAGTGGTTGGAAACTAAGTGGCATGTGTCTCAGACCATGGATCGCAAAGGGAAAAATAGGATGATAGCTTATGAGAACAGAGGATTCAAAGAAGAATGGACCGAATCATTTGCTTTCATCACCAATGCAGAAGGATTGCTTTCATGCTGCTTTTAAACAGAAGTTGTCAAGTAATAAAAAGTGTAATTTAGAAAGGCATTTCCAGGTTACATTCTACATTTACAGCCGGCCACCAAGTTGGGAGTAAGAGAAAAAGTGCGATTGCAGTACTTCTGGATAAATTACAGGAGCGCAAAGATAGATTGAAGAAGTAAAGATTGCATCTCTAAACTCCACTACTGCTGCTAGTGTTGTCGCAAGCATGGAAAACCGTTCACAGATCAAACAGGTAGCGCTCTTATGAAAGTATGTGAACTTTCTTTCATTTTTTCCCCAAATTCTCAAAATTAAAACAAGTATAAAAAAAATCTGATTTCTTTATTTTTTTTCTGTAATTTCATCAATGCAGCAAAACTTAATACTGTACATTATTATTGTAATGGATTTTAAACTTAAAGTTACAAATATTGTACAGCAGAGTAGTCACATGATGTGAGATTTGCTCTAGGATAAGCATTTAATCCATACATTCATCCATTTTCTGACATCCCAATCCCAAGTGGGGTCGCGGGGGGTGCCGTGCCCATCTCCTCATTAAGGAGCATAAAACAAAGAATTTAAGAAAGCATATATTTACATGTTTAATAATATGCCTTCCCACAAGTCTACGTTTGTTAAATAGCATAAAACATACTATTTCAGTATAGAATCCTGTATTCATACATTAATATGCCATATGACTATGTGATAAAGAGCAAAATATATTAAATACGTTGTTTAAACAACTTGCTGTATGGTTTAAACATGGTTTTTATATGCCACAGTTTGCTGTATCATAACCTCATGTCTGCCATTTGTAAGAAACCAAACCTTGTAAAAATCAAGTAAACATTCGTGGAATTATGATTTGTTTTAGTTGGGCTCAGTTTAAATAAATGCACTGGGGGTGCACGGGAGACCCGTACAAGATGGCCGCTTTACTCCAACGTCTGCGCCGATAGGCAGCACCAGTCCACAGAGCGTCTGTCGGCTAATATAAAAGCTAGTTGGCTAACGGGTAACTATTAACATCAGTACAACTCAATCCAAACTGGTGGCTAATTACCCAAACCTTTTCACAGACTACAAGTCATGTTAAATAAGGATAAAATGCACATTACTTGAAATAGTGCCATTTACTGCAGTTGAGCATTAATATGCATTCGCATTAGCTGGCTAACTGCTAGCATGAAAGTTTTGAAAGATTAGTCAGTGTACACTAATAATGACAACAATATAACTATAATGTACTTACCAACAAAAACCTTTTTTTAGCTGAGAAGAGCGCGTTCAAACCAAAAATTGCAGACACAAGGTGGAGCTTGTGGCGGGAAGTCATTCTGAATAATGTAGGCTGGCAACCGTAAGTCCAACACTCACGTGACAACGATCGTCCAATCACACTTCACTTACGTTTAAACGTTTGTTTTTCAAAGTATATAAACCGTGAGGAATTGGTCTTTGAAAATAATTGGTAATTCAAAAATGTTTTTTGAAATATAATGGATTTCCCCACATTTGGTGGTCAAATGGTGCATGTATTTTCAGCATGAATAACACAACCAAGATTTTAATAGCTTCATGCTTGTTGCAAAGTCCCTTATCCCAAGATGCTTTGTGACATCAATATGACATCAATTCAATACTTTATTCCCAGACATCAAATCAACGTCAGTTTGATGTTAAGTTTTTGTGCAGAGATATTGTTTTAAGTTCAAATATGTTTATTAGCAATATGAGGCAGTATTTGGATGCTAGATTGATTTATTGGTTGGACCTTTTTACAACTATAAGCTTCTGTAGAATAATTATCATGGAAGTCAAAATCTTGACCAATCTTTAACATCAAATTGATGTAACGGTGCCGGCTGGGTAGGGAAAAACTGAAGCCATGTCGTTCAGCTCACGGAACCCTAAAATGGACTACAAAAGCAGAGCCAGCCAGTCGTCTATGTCTGTGGGGACGCTCAAGGAAGCGCAGGTCGGTGCAAAAACCACATTTAATGCACATAACTGAATATTATCAGTGAGTTTTATCTTCCCCTTAATACTTACAAAGCTTAAGCTACATTTTGTAGGCTGCTAGATAATTGGACAAGAAATTAATTATGCGCAAGATAACTTTTAATGGAAAAATATATATATATATATATGGAAATATATATATATATATATATATATATATATATATATATATATATATATATATATATATATATATATATATATATAAAACAGCAACATGCTGTTGCGCTAATCATCAAGGCCTTCCTTTCCTTCTATGAACAAAAATGATCTAAAAACACTTTTTGAATTTAGTTAGATTACCCTATTTTTAGACATAAATTGTGCTCTAAGTATCACAAGAAAGCAAAAAAGAATGGCAGATTGTACTTTGTCTTTATGAACATGCTCTGTATCCTAAATTTTTACATTGCCCTTTTATAAGTTGTGCTTGTTTTAAATTTAAATCATTACAACATCTATCTTGGAACTTCATTTAAAGGACATCTGTATCAGTGCTGTGAAAGAGCGAGATATTGAGCAGAAACTGAAGCAAGTGATCGCTGAGTGGGACATCAAAACCTTTACATTTGCCAACTTCAAGACACGGGGAGAGCTGCTTCTGCGAGGAGACAGCACAGCAGAAATCATATCTAGCTTGGATGACAGTTTGATGATTTTGGGGTCTCTCATGATCAATCGGTATGTCATTTATAATACTTAGAAATTGTAAATCCGAAGAATTAGGTACAATAAGTGAATATTATTTTGTAAACAAAAGTTTCTCCCATAGGTTTAAAAAAAAATGAAAGTGCAAAAATTACCCAGATGTCTATGTCAATGATTGTCAATGATGCAGATTTAATTTCTTCCTAAGGTACAACACCCCATTTAAAGCTCAGATCCAGAAATGGGTTCAGAACCTTTCTAACACCACTGATATCATTGAACAGTGGATGAATGTCCAGAATCTATGGATCTATCTGAAAGCTGTGTTTGTAGGGGGAGACATTGCTAAACAGCTGCCCAAGGTAAAAGCAGGGTTACAGATATACCTGATTGATTATCCACATACACCACCAGCTAAAAGTATTCTTACACATAAGTTGTTATTTTTTTTAACCAGAAATGACCCAGTCTTTACCATTTACAGTCAAGAAAAAATAAACACAAAAATACCTTCAATTCGAAATTTGGTGGAGTTATCACTACTTTCATAAATTATACTTTTGTTTATATATCATTTAAATTTCCTATACATTTTCTGGTGTTATGTACGGCAGCCGAGAGCGGCTGTGTCCCTCTGATACTTTTTCAGTAAATTTTCTCATCAACCAAAGATAATGAAAGCCGTTTTCTCGTGATAACGAGATGACTGTTGAGTTAAAACTGATTACATCCTTCAATACTATAACTATGGAAGATCATTTATAAGAGTAAATTATGGCAGCCTATGTGTAGTCCTCTAAATAATCCTGTGGTTAACTTTAACAAGACAACGTTGTTGGTTTGATGATTTGCCTACACTTCAGATTCATAAGCAATTAGACCTTTGCCTATATATATAAACCTAATAAAAATCAGGTTTTTGGAAAACTTGACCTGTTGATTACTCTCCTTTCTCCTAAAGAGCTACCATATCTGAAGATATAGAATTAAGCTGAAAATCTCCATATTCAAATCAACTCTAGGCAGCTCCACAACAGAGTGCTCAAGATAATCCTGAAATTTGAAGATAAATTTAAATTTGAAATCTGGTCAATGATCAGGCACTCACAATTCACAATAATTTGTCTTTGTAGACTATTATATACACTATACAGTATCTTTTTTGGTTTTAAAGGAATACAAAATACAATTGGCGCATGTATAAGAAATGTGAATCTAATGAGTTGTTTGAGAAGTAATACATTGTTTAAAACTATTTAGGAAGCAAAGCGTTTCTCAACTATTGATAAGTCCTGGGTGAAGATCATGATGCGAGCTCACCAAATGCCTAATGTTGTGCAATCGTGTGTGGGAGATGAGACGATGGGCCAGCTGCTTCCTCACCTGCTGGAGAAGCTGGAGATCTGCCAGAAGTCGCTTACAGGGTGAGCACAGGCACTTTTTACTCAACTTATACCAAAGTGTTGTAAACAATTTAAAATTATGGGTTTGCTTTTTAACTATTAAAAGGATTTTTATAACTGAATTTTTTTTTTTTTTTTCAGTTATTTGGAGAAGAAGCGACTGCTTTTCCCACGTTTTTTCTTCATCTCTGACCCTGCCTTGCTGGAAATTCTGGGCCAGGCCTCTGACTCCCACACTATCCAGGCACACCTTCTCAATGTCTTTGACAACATCAAAACCGTACAATTCCATGATAAGGTGACTAAATAATATCTATATCTGTCTATATATAGATGACTGACAACCAGGCAGGCAGGGAGATACATAAGAGCAGATAAATATTTTTTTGTGGGTGTGTCTGTGTTATACTCTCAGTTCCCTGGTGTGGTAGGGCTAGAAAATAAATAAATATATTCCACAGTAGGCTGCTCAGTGACACAGTGGGTACTGTAGCCTCTTACATTTTAGCTTGAATTGATTTATTTAATTAAAGTATAGAGACCAAAACAGATCTTTAGCTGACAGAGCAATACATTTAGAGCAGTAATTATTAAAAAAAAATAATTGCATTTAAGAAAAAATAAAATGTTGTCTGTCAATATGCTCAATTCACAATTACTTAAGTGGAAAAGTTTCAAGAAATGAGTCTGAGATGAGTCACTTTATAACATGGCGCATTATCCTGTTGGAAGTAGCCATCAGAAGATTGGTACACTGTGGTCATAAGGACATAAGGTCAGCAACAATGCTGAGGTAGGCTGCCTCATTTATTTGATGCTAAATTGGTATTAGGTGGCCCAAAGTGTGGCAATAAATATCCCCCAAATAGATGGTACAAATAGATCAGGCTCAGTATGGCCTAATTATAGACTCTTACATTTTAGCTTGAATTGATTTATTTAATTAAAGTACGCTAGATTACTGTGTATGCAAATGTTATGTAAAAAAATACACAAAATAATTTATTTAAAAAATTTGTTTTAATCAGAATCAGTTGGTAAAATGTGCATTCCATGCAAACAACATTGGAATCAGAATGAGGGGTCTGGAGAGATCACAGTCTCCTAGAGCTCAACTACTGTGCATAGTGGCATGACTACCGTGACTTTTTCTTTGGTCTTACTTAAATGCACAGAGGATGTATTAACCACACATCTTCTAGCAATGTGCTCAACTGGCAGAAACAAACAGGTGCATTACCGCCACCTTCCAGAATGGAGTGACGCGAGCTGTTTTTCTTCTTCTTGTCGAGTTTTATGGGGGTTAGCAACAAACTGTTAGTAGCATTACCGCCACTTACTGGTATGGAGTGTGGTTCGTGATGGTTTAAATATTTATCCTGATATATATACATATTCCACGTCCCAAGAGCCAGCTGGACCAGAACCAGTGGTTCTGGTTCTGGAACCAGTCTCCTTGAGAGGGGCTGGACATACTTCCACTCTGGAGTTGCCCACGGTGAGAGGCGCCAGGCAGGAGTGGGCATACTTGTTGACCCCCATCTCGGTGTCTGTACGTTGGGGTTTACCCCGGTGAACGAGAGGGTAGCCTCCCTCCGCCTACGGGTGGGGGGGCGGGTTCTGACTGTTGTCTGTGCTTACGGGCCGAACAACAGTTCAGATTACCCACCCTTCTTGGAGTCCTTAGAGGGGGTACTGGAGGGTGCCCCTCCTGGGGATTCCCTTGTTCTGCTGGGAGACTTCAACGCTCACGTGGGCAATGACAGTGAGACCTGGAGGGGCGTGGTTGGGAGGAATGGCCGCCCTGATCTGAACTCGAGTGGTGTTCTGTTGTTGGACTTCTGTGCTCGTCATGGATTGTCCATAACGAACACCATGTTCAGGCATAAGGGTGTCCATATGTGCACATGGCACCAGGACACCCTAGGCCGCAGTTCGATGATCGACTTTGTCATCGTTTCATCGGACTTGCGGCCGTATGTCTTGGACACTCGGGTGAAGAGAGGTGCTGAGCTTTCCACTGACCACTACCTGGTGGTGAGTTGGCTCTGGTGGTGGGGGAGGATGCCGGTCAGACCTGGCAGGCCCAAACGTGTTGTGAGGGTCTGCTGGGAACGTCTGGCGGAGTCCCCTGTTAGGCGGAGCTTTAACTCCCATCTCTGGCAGAACTTCGAACACATCCCGGGGGAGGTGGGGGACGTTGAGTCCGAGTGGACCATGTTCCGTTCCTCCATTGTCGAGGCGGCTTATCTGAGCTGCGGCCGCAAGGTTGTCGGTGCCTGT